TAGTCGCTTTAAACACCACCACGAATCCAAGATAGGACGAAACACGTGTCCTGGATTTCACTGCTAGCCACTATCCGTCTTTGCTAATAACGCTTGTGAATTAATGCAATATCGAGGCTATTCGTACACCATGCACATATGCTAATAAATGACTGATCAATCGCAGTTTTAAACATTAATCGGAAGATACGAGTAAAACAACACCAAGTGAATACGAATTAGCTTATTTTGAAATTTCCTTTTTAGATATTTCGGTGAGATTATTATTTATGGATGATGTTTGAGTGAAGCTAGATTGGACTTGAGAGTGTCCACCTAATAACTAGGACCAAATGAAGATTATAAATCAATGTGAGGAATTTGCATTATGATTTATAGTTGATGGTCAACGTTAAGAATTAGATTTAGGGTTTTTATCACGAGCTGATATAATCTATACTGCCGAAATTCTATTTAACCGAATGGATGAATGAATTTCGCACTAAGATTCAACACCTGTTAGTCCATAAATTATAGTCTCGCCAATATTTCAATAACTATTCTATAGTCATTTAATAGTTCATTTCATCAGTCAATTGAAGTTAAACCACCATGGAAAACCTGGAAGCACTGAAAGACCATTTCACCCTAATGTGAGACTCCTCAGCGGTGCGCATCCACGATCCCACCCCGCGAGATTCCAACCTAGGACGTGTCAGTCTCGCGTGCGAACGTTTAACTTCTAGACCACTGAACGGGCATCCGTGGTAATGTGTAACTTCCACTAATCGACGAAGTTGATCGACACATCCACCATTGGCTTCAATGAGTTACTATTTCACAACAGACTCGATTTAACTCCACTGATCACTGTTCTCACTAGAACTCCAGGAATCACCTCTTGAAGCCAGTCACTAGTGAGAATATGTTGATTCATATCAGAAAGGCTTTTGTGGACATAATATTAATTTTATCAGTTAAAATCATGAGTCAACTGAAACTAGATCACCATGAAAAACCTGTAAGCATTAGACGTCTGTTTTGTGTTATTGTGGGACTTGTAGGGGGTGAGCATCCAAGACCCCGCCATCCGCTCGATTCGAACCCAGGACCTATCAGTATGGTACATGAATGCTTAGACTCCAGATCACCGAACTGGTATACAACGGTTTTAATGTTTAACTTCAATCAATCCAATAGTTTATAGTTTTCATGTAATTCATAAAAAAACAAATTGCACATTAATTTTTTGGGACATAATATCTATTCAACACAAAAATAAAATGTACTTTTTCAACACTGATTTCATATAATACCATGGCAACAATGAAAACCAAAAAAACAATCCCCTCCCCCCGAAGCAAAACTAAACTGATTTTTCATTTGAAAATTTCATTGACTTTTATGGTATTATCATCATTATGATGATGATTAACCTCAACAACAAAAAATACAAAAAAAAAACCCCTGAATACTTTCAACAACCAAAAGTACATGTTACCTAATTATTGAAATAGAAAATATAAATTAGAATTGATGTTAACAATCATGTTACTATGTATAGGGTGTATCATTTACATTTGACTTAGAATGATTAATTCTCTTATAATACTATTCATATTCATATTGTTATATAATCATTATTGTCAAATGAATGAAATAACATGTAAGTATCTATATATGATGTAATATGTTATTTATAATATTCTGGTTAGTGTTAGGTTGTTAACCCCATGCCCAATCCTCCTCCTTTATCTCGGCTTGGGATCGGCAGTAGTCCTCGGATGGACTTCAGGCGGAGTTTGTTTATAATATATTCAATAGATATTCATTACTATAACCAATTTGTTTTATTATGTTGAGGTTGATAAGTCTTCTAATTCAATGGTAGATTCAATGGATAGGCTGTTTCAGTAATCTACTCCCCTTATCCCTTAAATAGGGCTTAATCTAAAAAGACACTTGAATACGAGAGGAAAGTTGAGAAATATGGAAGACAATGATTTACTTTTAAGGTTTGTTTATGTACAGAATATCTAGGGTATTTATAATATTTTAGATGTCCTTCGATTTCCGGAAGATTCTGGAATGTTACTAAATATGAGATGGTGGAGAAGATTTGTAGCTCAGGTGGATGATTTTGGTGGAGTTTTGTTCTCTGAGCTGGCAGCACGAAAAAATGAAGAGAAATACCTGAAGGACGTATTTCAAAAGAACGGCTACCCAATCAACTTCATCAAAAAATACCAACCGCACGCAGTATCAGAGTCAAGCACAGAAATCAACAAAAGGATCGCCCTACCATACATAAAAGACATATCAGAAACCGCAACGAGACTGCTGAAAACCTTTGGGATAGGTGTGGCATACAAACTGACAAAATCCCTACAATCAATCCTATGCAAACCAAAGTATGAAATAACAGAGGAAAACAAATCAAACATCATCTACAAAATAAATTGTGCCAACTGTGAAAAACACTACATCAGACAAAGCGGACTCCCCCTTCATCTTCGCCTACACGAACATCAATTAGCAGTCAAACGGCATGATATCTCTTCACTTATATCAATACACGTGGACAACTGCAGATACTCATTCGATTGGAAAAATGTGGAAATTTTAGACAGAGAAAACTCTAAAAACACCAGAGAATTTTTAGAAGCCTGGCACTCAGGTCAATCAGCAATCAACAAACATATTGAAATCAATCCAATTTATTAACCAATCAGGAGAATCATGCACAAATATAGGAACAAAAATCAAACCAATGGGGGAGACAACCAAAACAAAGAAGTAAACAATGACAACGTCGAGGTGCACAGAAAAAGCTGTGAAACACATGGAGAAATTCGAACACTTCACTTCTATGTGAAGTTTGTGCTGATGATGTCGTTCAGAAGAATGACGAAAGCTCCACGACCAAATCATCCACCAAAATGTTACTAAATATAGTGGCAGCATCATTAACCATTCAATCAGGAACTTAACTTTTTACTTTCTAGGTGTTTCTAGCAAAATTTTTATTGAATACTGATTAGATAAGGTGTTTTTTCAGTATTTTCAAAACTTTTCTTGGCTTTTTCCGAAGAGTTTTCTAGATCTTCCCAAATCCAAGATCAAACTTTTTAACTTATTTATAACCTATCTGATGTATGTACACATATCTTTTAATGTTGTTGTTCACAATGAAACTTGAATGCAATACTTTACGTTACGAACGCTTATGTTGCGTATATAACAATAGGGGCTGATCAATTCTAGAATAGAATCATGGATGCTCATTGTTCAGGAGTTCCACAATAGGACGAAACGAACATCCAGTGCTTCCAGATTTTCCATGATTGTCTAGCTTTAATTAACTCATTATCTCAACTATTAAAATGACTGAAATATCCACAAAACCCCTTCTGATACTAACTTATATCTAATACGCTTTCGTATACATTGCTGGACAATTACAGCAAAGAGAATGACTTAACAGGTCTTGTTTCATTCCTTAAGTTGGTCAATTATGTAATAAAGTTGCCTTTTGATTTGATAGACAGTTTACAGCATTTTCCTCTGTTACATGTATCTTACGATCATAATACGTTAATACATTAATAAGACTAATCACGTTATATCAGAATCAGGATTCGCGATCCAAAATGAAGAACCAGATGAATACTAGTAGAATATTATATTCAATACAATTACAAGTATTCATACATAATGAGTCCTGAGTAGAAATCAATAATTGGAAGGGAAACCACATATTCAATAGTCTGTAGTTTTTTGTCCATGCTCAACGATCAATCATACTTTACTTTCATTAGCATATATCACCTTCATGAATTCTTAAGAACTGCAATTCTTAATTCTCCGTCTGTAGCCGTTCTAGAGCTATTGACATTCTCAGGCCCGTGTAAAAGAGAAGGGTTGGGCGTGGGGTCTGCAACCTCATACCGTACAAAACAACCTTACCTATGCTCCTCCATAAGGAGTAACACAAGCGCAAGTAAGTAAGTAATTAAGCAAATTTTAATTCATATTTCTCAAATGCGATTATTAATAAGTGGTATGGTGATGATCTGAAAGTATTTCAAATGGATTGTAGTTAGAAATATATAAGACCTAAAGATCATAGATTTGATTATTGGAAGATTTTCAAGAGTTCAATGCTACGAAGTTTAACACGAGGACAAAAAATATATCTATCCAATACTTCATAGTTTTAATTGGAAATTAACCTCTGATACCTAATCTTTTCAACAAAGAAAAGCCCCCAAATGCCCTGGTCCACTCTCCCTCTCCAAATGCTCTCACATGGTCACGCGTATATAGCCTCTGTCAGGGAAGTCCTACTCAATGCCTTCTCATGGCGGGGGAGTTGTTTACGAAATTGAGAGGACGAAAAGCGAATATCCGGCGCTTTTGCCAGGTTGGTGGACATGGAAAATCCATCCAGGGTATTCAGAAAACCCTCATTCCAAACCAATGGTGTACATGAGCTCCAGTATGCTGGAGGAACAAATGGCGTATGAACTAATAGTTGGCCGCCGACAACCGTGGGACAGCATCTCCTTACGTTGCTCCACTGCCTTGTGAATCAGACCTTTAGTTAGAGGGCTCCGGTTGTGGCCCCCTAAGAAAACCACCTGTTTCGGTTTGGGGACCCGGACAGTATCACAGCCATCACACATATCAAATGAGATTCGTGTGGCGCATATGCATTTGGTGCCTCATTGTACCAATATCTATGTGTTAAAATGAATAAATAAATAAAATAGCAAAGAAAAAAAACGCTATCAAATGAACAGTAAATTATTAGGATACTTCAATTAATTCTTATTTACTTTTCAACATCCTGATCTCGAATCCCGCGAGCGATATCGTAGACGAACACTGTTAAGGCAGTCCCGTACTAAGGACGAAACAGCCATCCAGTGCTTCCAGGGTTTTTTTTATGGTGATCTAACTTTAACTGTGATTCATGAATCTAATTACTTGTATTTTCTCCATTATTTTGTTGTTGTCAGCTTGTTCAGAACCTCTAGTCTATATCAATCAATCAGGTATAATTAAATCCCATGCTCAATATGGAATGATGAATTATACATCAAATTTATATTGTGAATATATAATAAAAGCACCAATGAATTATAAAATTATCATTCGAATAGAAGAACTTGATTTAGAAGAAACGAATAGGTAAGTGAATAACCATTTTGAAAATATGGAAATCTCAAAAAGGAATCTTTTAATGTCTCTATGAATGAGACTATCATTTATGGACGACGATCTTTGAACGATGCCAGACTGACTTTGAAAGGGTTCATCTAATAACTATGTGAGGAATTCGAATGATAATTTAATGTTGATGATTAATATTAAGAGTTAAATTTAGGGTTTCCATCACGAACTAACATCCGTTATAATGCTAAAACTTGATTTAACCAAATGGATAAGTGAATTACGCGCCAAAATTCGAGACCTGTTATCTTATACCTGATTGGTTTATAGTCTCGCCTTTCATTGACTTAAATAGCATTGGTGAATAATGAAATTTAATAAGTCGAGTACGAGGATGGATGTTTGAGTATGTATATTTTGTATATATTGATCTGGACAGACAATCCGAGGGACGAAGCGAAATGATACGCGGTGGATAAGGCATGTGAGCCAACTCGATTTAATCAAGTGTTAATCGATAAATATAGTCACATAAAAATAAGCTCAAGATATGTGATGAATAGGATCAGATGTACACATACATACGCTGATATAGAAACAGTCAAGGTTGGTAAGTGAACAATTACCATGGTCAAAATGTGACTCAAGCAGAATGGATAAATTAGCCTGTTCAGAAGCTAGAATAAGGTATATGAGCTTAACATAGTAACCGATAGTGCAATCTCTTTTCAGTGCATTTATTTCACTTGTTGAATGAATTGAAGCTAGACCACCATGGTAAACCTGGAAGCACTGGAAGGCCGTTTTGTCCTAGTATGAAAGTCCCCAGCAGTGCGTATCCACGACCTCGCCCCCTACGAGGTTCGAACCCAGAACCTACTGGTTTCGCGCGCGAGCACTTAACCACCAGACCCCTAAGCCGGCATCCAACGTTGTCAATGCCTAACTTCAACCAATCCACGAAGTTGCACCACCATACACCATTGTCTTCAGTGAGTTGATATCTCACAACCGACCTGGTTGAACTCCACGGGTAACGGCTTCTCACTAGAACTTCAGGAAATGCCTCTTGAAGTCAGTCACCAGTGAGCAGATGATTATTATCAGAAGGGGTTTGGTGAAGATTTTGGTAATTTCAATAGTTGAGATCATGAGTCAACTGAAACCAGACCACCATGGAAAACCAGTGAAATTTCTAAAAAATCTCCACAAAACCCCTTCTGATAACTCATTTATTGTCAAGCTGTACAATGGTATATAAATATGAGATTTTTAGGGTATATGAACAACAAATAAATATAATGATGTAATAAAAAGATTATGATACATAGTTAAATTGTGTAAATAATCACAACAAAGTCAACAACACTAACTGATCTTAGTTAAACAGTGATTGAAGTCTTGAAAGTACAAAAGAGATGTTTTATCTTTGTATTGAACTCCCCAGCAGTGGATAACCATCACTCCATCACCAGAGATCAAACCTAAAACCTGGAATTTCTCATTCAATAGCTTAACCTTTAGATCATCATTAGGCTGAGTTCTAATGGCGTAAGTATTTGACTTCCATGAATTAGCAATATTGAGCAATTCACTTTCAATATACTTGGTGGGTAACTGCTTCGGATATTACATGGTTGAACTTCATTGGTTACAGCTTTTCAACAGAACATAGGAATTGTACCTGGAAATTAGTTACTAGTGATTATGTAATCAATTACTATAAAGGGTTTGTAGGGAGTTTTTGGGTTTCATATTTAACTGACAGTGAACTAAAATCGGTTCATCATGCTAACCACGAATAACAACCAGAATCCTACAACTCCTGAGGGAATTTTGTAAATAAAAAGACGTCAGAAAATAATAAGCTGACAATAAATTATAGTTTCATTTAAATCATGAGCCGATAAATCTTAGACCACAATTGGACACGTGGAAGCACTGGATGAACATTTTGTCCTGAACGTGGTAATCGAACTCAGCACAACCGATCTCTCACACTAACGCTGAACCTCTATACTACTGAGTCGGTATCCAATGGCGTTAATGTTCAACTTCAACCAATCCACGATATCGCATGATCATCTTCCATTGTATTCGATGGGTAACTGCCTCACACCCGACACGGTCCAACTACATTGGTCACAGCTTCTCACTAGAAATTCAAGAATAACCTCTCGAAGCTAGTCACTAGTGAGTATATGATAATTATCAGTACAGGGTTGCGGAGATTACTGAGTTTTAATTAAGAGCATGAACTGACCAATGTTGAACCACCATTGAAAACCTACAATCACTGAATGACGGTTTCATCCCAGTTTGAGACACCTCAGAAGACTCTAACTACTTGCGAGTAGTTCATATTTTAAAAGCAAACGTTAAATATGGTCACAAATACTAATTAAAAAATTAGTAGTTGAATCTTTTCAAAAACATTTATAACTCAAGGATAATTAAAGTATTCTTGTTAATTACCACCTCTTCCTATAGTCTATCATCAAAGGTTTATTAATCTTTTTGTTATTTATGCTTTCTGAAGAAATGGCTGTCCAGATTATCAATGGTGGTCTAGCTTAGATTGACTTGTGAATTCAACTGTGAAAATACTACAGTCTCCAGAAATCCTCATACTGATAATAATCGTGTGCCCGGTAGTGACTAGCTTCAAGATGCATTTCATGGAGTTCTAGTGAGAAACTGTGACTACTGGAGTTCAATCCACATAACATATGAGAGAGTTATCCACCTCAGATAATGGATGTAGGGTTGCACAAGATCATGGATCTATTGAAGTTAGACATTAACACCGTTAGATGTCGGTTCAGTGATCTAGTGATTAAACGTTAGCACTCGAGACTGAATATCCTGGATCTGAGTCTCGTGAGTGGATCGTGGATGCACACTGCTGATTATTAGGACGAAATGGCAATCCAGTGCTTCCAGATGTAGATTTGGCTACTTTATAAGTTAAATAAATAGTCTTACTCGTTAACTTAATTTGGTCTATTACCGTTCTTTGCCTATTAGTCTAGATATTTGATAGATTCAGTGATGCCGATCTAGTTAATAGATCTTCGAAGTGCTTCATCTTAATGTTCCACTGCTCTTGTGTGATGTATGCTATTTATGTCTGTCGATATATAAGTAGTATGTAACACCAAGCAGAAGTAGAGTGACTGGCAGCAGAAGAAAACGGGAGTGTAAACAGAGCGTAATTTAAAAGATAATAGAGACAATTAAGTTTGAGATAGTTGATGAAAGATATGCAAACAAAGTATTTATCGTACTGTTTTCACATTTTACCTCCCCGCGCCCGCTCACTTGTGTTCTCGTTCACTATACTTGAACCTTAGTGATTAGGATCAATAGTAAATTCGTAACGGTTACAGACAAAGTTAAACAAGAAATGTAACTTGAATTTGATTTCATAAATAAATTTATTATTTATTAAAATCTAATAATTGTATTCATGAGTCAAATAAAGCTAGACTACTATAGAAAACCTGGAAGCATTAGACATCCGTTTTGTCCTAGTATGCGACTCACTGAAAACAATGATGGATGGTGTTGCAATTTTGTGGATGAGTTGAAGTTAAACAATAACACCGTTAGATGTCAGCTCAATGGTTTAAAGTTTGAGCGTTCGTAAGTGAGACAGAAAGTTGTGGGTCCGAATCCTACGAGCAGAATTGTCAGTACGTACGGATGAGAAGTCCCATACTAGAATGATATAGCCGTACAGTGACTCCTGATGGTCTAGCTTTAATTGACTCATAGATTCAACTATTAAATTACTACAATCTCCACAAAACCCTCTTTCGGATTTAATAAAATTCACTTTCATAATGAGAATTTTGAATGTATTATTGGTAATAAGAATTTGAGGCTTTCAGTAGTACCCCATACATAACTCTACTAATTGTCGAATACATAAACTTTAGGTATTATAATAAGTACCTAACTATAAAACTACTAAGTTGAGATCAAATAGTTCATCCCTTTAATTTCAATGAATTCAAGATATTAAGTTATGGATCACCCCAGTATGTATATTTATCACGCCTGATACAGTTTATGTTATATCTTATCCCCTGTCATCCTACCAATGTATAATGTAATGAGACCGCCAATTAGAGAGCAGTGAATTATCGATCGCACCAATGACGCATAGAATACGTACGAGCAGTCTAGAGTAGTTATCAGTCCTGCTTCCCGCCTAGCTCTTTACCAATACAGGTTGTAATACATCTTATTTGACATTAGTCACCAGTTACCATGGGATTGAATCTCCTTATGTTGCTCCACTGTCTTGTGGACTAGACCTTTCGGTCAAAGATTCCAGGTGTAATCCCCCTTAAGAAAACCACTTGGTTCAGTCTTGACACCCGCGTAGTAATATCCCAGCCTTCACACAAATCGAATATTTTCTGTGGCGCATGTGTATTCAGTGCCTCTTTGTACCGATGTTTATGTGTTTAAATGAATAAGTAAATATAAAGTTTAACATTAGACATTGTTTTAAATAGTTTATATTATACTAATTCTGTTCTTTTCATTCCTTACTTTTTCTAGTTGTATATTTGACTACTTATTAATTACAGATGAGTATTATACAAATGTATATACTTATTGTGGTCATCAAGTGAAAGCATCTCATTCAATTGAAATGAATAGTTCACAAGTCTACATAATATTTGGTACAGATGATGCTAATCATGGACACGGTTTCTTACTCAAATATGAAACAGTCAAAAATGAAGCATTGAAATCGAACAATTTTTATTCATGTGGATTAACATTCCAATTAAATGAGGATGTTGAATATACTGATAATAAAATGGAGAGTAGAATTATCGGTGGAGAACTATCTAGACCAGGTCAATGGCCATGGATGGTATCAGTAAGAGAGAATAATCAATTTCGATGTGGTGCCAGTTTAATTAGTAGTCAATGGTTATTAACAGCAGCTCATTGTTTTCCAAAGTATGTATTTGAATGGTTTGAATAATTTTTTCTGGCTAGCTTTTTTTTAGCGAATTAGTTTTCTACGAGATGGGGTCGCTAACCCCATGCTCAACCCTCCTTCTTTATCCCGGCTTAGGACCGGCAGTAGCCCCTGGAGGGACTCCAAGCGGAGTTATGTAGTTGAATATAATGATAATAATAAATTATTTAAAATATTAGTAAGGAGTAAATCAGTTGTGGGAGTTCAAGTCTTCCAGTTGTTAGGGTTATCCAATGTATTAAGTTCCAGTCTTAGATGCAAGTATATTCAGCTTATGAGTCCCAAATAGAATGAAATGTGTATCCTGAATTTCATTGATAGTCATTATCCTCCCAGTTATTAATAAAATGTCATTTATTCGAAATACAAGTTGAGATCCAGATATCCAGACATGGTTTTTACACACACGCATACACAGACCTACTTTGTATCTATCTGTATGCTATTAGAACGTAAATCCTATAGTTCCGTTTAGTGTTCTGGAGTGTAAAATCAATATTTTATTAGTATCAGATGCGGTTTTATGGATATTATAATAATTTTTAATAGTTGAAATCATGAGTCAATTGAAGCTAGACCACTATGGAAAACCTGGAAACATTGGACGGCCTTTTCATCCAATTGTGGTACTTCTAAGCAGTGTGTATTCACGATCCTGCTCCGCGAGGTTCGAACCCAGGATTATATCGGTCTTGCACGCAAACGCTTTTATTATCTGAATGACTGTATGTTGTTGAATATGATACATAGATAGATAACATCTACATTGGAATCTGGTCAAAATCTTTTTTCCTATAAATGCACCCTGATAGTCAGGTTATAGGATACAAAACAAGATCATATACTATGCTTGATAAAAATAGACATAAAGAACTGAATCTACATCTGATAAAGTTTCTTCCTCTGAACTGGATCATTTATTCGTGGAGCTTTCATCATCGTTTATTTTTCTTCTGAAAAGCATACAATTCAAGTAGAAGTGATATATTGGAACTATCGGACATATAACTGATAGCATGTCCTGTCGACTTTAATCTTCATTGATCATTATTGATCTATAACCTGTATATTTATTTTAATTGTTTCCCCTTTTGATGTATTTCCCTATGATTTCTCAAACTCATTGATAAGTTGGGTTAATATTGATGTGTTAATTGATTACTCAATTGAACTGAACCTAAAGCTTCTAGAAATTATCTTGACTTCTTTGCATGCATTCTATCTCTTCAGTTGAATATGTGTCTATAGTCATTCATATGCATTAATATTATTGAAGGGACTTCATGACATTAATATTCATTTAGACAAAGAGAACGCCCACCTTTTCCGATGCAATACTTCGTCCAGATGGGATAGTTTATTTTGAAAATAACGAACTTATTTAAAAATGTTTATACATTCAATTGGTGTTCTTTTACTTGTATCTTCCCATTGTTATTGCCAACAAGAGACTGATCCAAATTACAAGTAGAACAATACCAAGTGAATTTAAACTTTATTCGACTGCACAAGTAGGTGACTATCAGGATTCAGTAGCTAAGTGAATAACGTGATGGTGTTTAAGGCGGACAGTATTGGGTTCGAGTCCCAGAGTGAACATCAACTCTGAGATGTAGGTACATTCAACTGACGAGTCCCAACTACGATGAAACGCCCATCCTGTATTCCACTGCTAACCATTATGCATCTTTACTTTAAAATGCTTGTGAATTAGGGCTATATCGAGGCAATCCGCACAGGACGCACACATGCCAATAACAGACTGATCAACTGCAGTCCTAAACATCAAAGGGAAGATTAAAATAAACAACACCAAGTGAGTTTAAATTTCATTCGACTGCACAAGTAGGTGACTATCAGGATTCAGTAGCTAAGTGGACAACACGATGATGTTTAAGGCGAACGGTATTGGGTTCGAGTCTCAGAGTGAACATCAACTCTGAGATGTAGGAACATCCAGTTGACGAGTCCCAAATAGGATGAATCGCGTATTCTGCATTCTACTGTTAACCACTATCTATCTTTGCTCAAAGATGTTTATACATGATAGAAAAAAATCTTTCACAGATTAAAGTGACAGTAAATTAATTCGTTTACATGTTATGATTATTCACATATTATTACAGAAATGTAAATCTAAACAATTGGATAGTACATATTGGTGATTTTTATTTAGATTGGATTGATAGTGAAGAGATACTAATGAATATAAGTAGTATATTCATTCATCCAAATTATCATCTACGTAAATTATACGATTATGATTATGCATTAATAAAAACTGCTTCATCAATTCAATATACTTCAAAACGATTACCAATATGTATATTGAATTCAACATTGATGAATATTAATCAACTGGATCGTTGTTATGTTGCAGGATGGGGAAGTTCAGAAGGTAATCAATCATTGAATGTTGTTACTCTTTTCACCTTATTGAAAGTAAATTAATCTTAAATGATCTATTCACAATTATATATAACTATACTGGACTGAGGTTGTTTAGTTACTTGATCTCAGTTAGTACTAACCATATTTTTGGAAAACCGCCGATTTTTATTAAGTTTCACTAGTAAGATTTCTAGGTGAAATGTATGTTTACGTGAACGGTTTAATAAATCGCCTGATATTTTGACAATTGATGTATGGTATTGGATGTAAATGTGATTGGTGAACAAACAGGTAATCAACTAATTGACTGTTAAATATATGATCTACCCAAGGTTCACTGAGAGTGATTGGTTATAATTGTGTAGAACAAAGTATTATCTATTCTTGATCGTAAATCAGGTATCGTATATAACATGATCTAGCTTCTTTATAGTTTATTGTTCGAGTACACAATCCAGCGGGTTTATAAACCCAGTCATCCAGTCCAGTCTTATTATTATTACCCCCAAATGCCCTGGTACGGCTGAGGGAACGGAGAGTCCACTCTCCCTCTCCAAATTCTCTCACATGGCCACGTGCATACAACCACTGTCAGGGAAGTCCTACTTACTTACTTCTCTCTGCATTTCCGTTGTTTACGAAATTGAGAGGACGAAAAGCGAATGTCCCCCGCTTTAGTTGGGTTGGTGGAAACGAAGAGTTCACATGTGGGAGTTGGAAAACCCTGGTTCCAAACCAATGGTAGACATGGGCTCCAGTATACTGAGGGAACAAATGGCATATGAATCAATTATTTGTCACTGGCTACTATGAGACTGGATCTCCTTACGTTGCTCCACTGCCTTGTGGGTCAGGACTTTAGGTCGAAGGCTCCGGTTGTCGCCTTCTAAGAAAACCACCTGCTCCGGCTTGGGCACTCAGGCAGTGTCATAGCCCTCACACATATCAAATGAGATTTGTGTGGCGCATACGTCTCTTGGGCCTCCTTGTATCAATATCTATGTGTTAAAATAAATAAAATATTATCATAGTATGGTAATAAACCGTGGAAAGAAAAATATCCAAATTCATCTTTTATATCATCAATCATTCAGAAAAACAGCATTATTAAACAGGTTGATTAGATTTTAACCTAAAGTCTTGTCCATTGTATGATTTCTCAAACGAACTATCTTTACTCTCTCTCTCTCTCTCATTATTATTTTTTCATGCTGAGGTATGTTCTATGACTGTTGAACAGATATTGGAATTTTCTTTTGAATATGTTCTACGAAGTTAGGATATATCAACAAAGGTTTAGATGATTATCACTTTGATCAAAGTGGAAACATGAAAATTCCAACTCTCTAATTTAAGTCTCTTTACCAAAATGGAACAGATCTAAGATATTAGAACAGATCAAACATAGGATCTATAGTTAGTTACACAATATACCCTTGTGAGCCAGGGTAATTCTACATTGGTTTTCAGGAGAACCAGACATCATCCAGACTTTCACGTGACAACCCAAACAGTACAACTCAATCCTGATTAACAGGAGAGTCAGACACTGTATAGGCTTTAACGTTATAATCTGAATAGTACAGCTCAATCGTGTGGTGCAACCACACAGGTACCAAGCACCCTGATGGATCATTCGCACCATTCATATACACATTCACGTCACATGTATAATAATTATTCTGATCAATGATCGCGTGAATCAATTATGCACACCACAAACAGGCCAAAGTTGACTTATTCCGTTTACACGACAGTTAAACTCATTATTGTTAGCATGTCCCAATGACAATGGTCCTTGAGAACACTGAAAAGCAACCACCAGTATGAATGAAATCGATTAACCAGCAAACCAATTTTGTGCATGAACAGTCAGCAAAACTTGCCAAAGTAATACCGAACCATCCACAATATCAACGATGAACCTCCAGTTCCTATATGAAACCTTCAGCTCTACATAGCAATATAGGATCTATAGACTGACTATTAAAAAATTTAGTATAATAACAATTAGATATCAGTTTCCTAAAGGATTCATTCTCTAGTCATATTTATGATCAATTTGTTTAGTTATATTAACTTAATGAATTGGAAACTAATCTTCTTTATTTCTATACAAATAGATTCACCAATATCAAATGAATTACGTCATCTTTATATCCCATTACTTAATTTAACGGTATGTAATCAAACGGAAGCATATCAAGGAAAATTAACTGAAACAATGATTTGTGCTGGATATATTAGAGGTGGTAAAGACTCATGTCAAGGTGATAGTGGTAGTCCATTAATGTGTCAATTACATAATACAACTGATCATGTATGGTATCAAATAGGAATTGTATCATTTGGGAAATCATGTGCTGGTAAGTTGACAATCACTAATCTTCTATTCAAAAAGGAGTACCAATGTATTATGTTAACCATGTGTAATAAGAATGAACTTGATAAATTATTCAGTTAGTAACTAATTATCTGATAATAGTTTACATTACGAATTGAATTTAAAATAAGGTGATCAAACCGTCTGAGGAGCTAGCACCAACAATCTTGTCGTTTGATGGGTGTGTTATGTTAAGATGGTGGTTAGATGTAGTCAACAGGAAACCCAGTACCTAGGTTTCGTGCTACTTGGCACTCGTCAGCAAGGTGTACCTGTAATCTTGAGGGAACTGGTGATCCCTGACGGATTCGATTTCGTGTCACCCAGCTTCACAGTGAGAGATGTTACCACTGGGCTATCCGGGCCGCGACCGACCTCCTGTAGAACTGAGATGTATTCACAATTCATTGATCACTGGGTAGCGATCAATGTCATCGGTATTAAGTCCTTCTTAGTGCAGATCTAATGCTATCGAACAAGTTGCAATGTGGCCAGTAGTCTAGCTGTGTTATGTTTTAAACACTGACTAGAAGTAGAACAGAGTACATGTCAGCTAATCCGTGATATTGAGCGACGATCATCCATTAGTATCAGTGATATCCATCTTACTCTTAATGTCATTAAGTCAACACATAACAGCCGCTCATCAAGTAACAGATATACAGTGCTCTTTAGCTTCCAATCATTATCGTTGCTAAAGTCAGTCAGAAGTTTGTAGATCTAGTGAATATCCATTAAAATATACAAAGTAATCCAGTAAATCACACCTTGCTCTAAGTATTCGATATGTAAGCTTTAAAAATTTAAGTATTTTTCAGAGATTGAATTCACAATACATGATTCCTGTAACATCTCTTCATATTATACCTTTATGCAACGATGAACGTAAATATTGTGAAGATTTACACGGTTATGAACTGTCTTGAAGTTAGAATCTCCAAAGTAATAAGTTAATGTAAATGTCACATACTTTGTCAATTTGAAAGTTTTATTCCAGAAGGAAAGTAATACATTGAAGTTTCATAGTCTGTATTATCCCATTTTTTTATATTTTAATCTTAGTTGACATATTTCGATCCTGTTCGGATTACCCTGATATAGCTATTATGACTCAAGTTTATATGAAAAAGATAGGGTGTGTCTATGAGTGGAATCTAGGACGTCGGTTTCGTTTCCTTCTGGACTTGTCATCTGGATGAACCCTAGATCTTAGAGATGATTTCCGATTCGACAATCGAGACAAGTACTACTCGTTTCAAACGAGTTGGCTTAGACGGAGGCGAATCAAGCTGATGAATCCTATGTAGGACGAGACGGGCATCTCAGATCCCACTCCTAGCTACATTTCATCTATTCTTACTGTTTATATTTTGTCTAGGCGTTGAATAATGAAGATCGAAAAACATTTCCTCGTTACAATGATCGAGATTTACTGTACTATTTACGAACTTACTCATGTAAATAATTGGTTTTATTAGGTCAATGGAATAAATAGTAATTACTGTAAGATTCTTTAATTTTATTTCATTTCAAACAGTCTTTGAGGAAGTAAACCGAGTAATCTTACAGTGCCATATCACCTACGACAAGCATCCATGTAACCGATGCATCCTACTTCAAAGATATTTAATTTGATAGTTGAATTCATGAGTCATTTAAAGCAAGACCACCATGGAAAACCTAAAAGCACTGAATGGCCGTTTCGTCCAGTGGAGTTCAACCGGGTCTGTTGTGAGATAGTAGTTCATTAACGACAATGGTGGACGATGGCGTGGATTGGTTGAAGTTAAACATTAACACTGTTGGATGCCGGCTCGCGCGCGAGACTGATAGGTCCTGGGTTCGAATCTCGTGAGGGGGCGAGATCATGGATGCACACTTCTGAGGAGTCCCATACTAGGACGAAACGGCCGTCTAGTGTTTCCAGGTTTTCCATGGTGGTCTAGTTTCGATTGACTCATGATTTCAACTATTGAAATGCAAAATTACAGTGTATCTCCTTAATATGTGAAAACCACACACTAAATATATCATTTGAACATCTCCCTTCAATTGTCCTTTATACACATCATGATTCTTTCAATTCTGTTGTTATCACAATTGTTGTCTTTTTTTCTTATTCACTTCAATCTTCTGCTGACAGGCATTTCACTCCCAATCGTTGTTAAATACTACTCATATCTGTCAACATAAGCAGCATATACCCCATTATTAAATATACTCCTAACTATCATTATCGTATAATTCAATGTAAATTATATTAATGTATAGTGATTTTATCTTTTTTATTTTTTCAAGCGGCAGGAACTCCAGGAATTTATAGCAATCTTACATTCGTCAATAATTGGATCTCTTCAATTATGCAATCATATGAATAATTATAAGCTACTGTAGAAATAAACAAATAGTTTACTGTAATATGTAAACACGTCTTGGTTACAATTGTCAATATTTATATGGTAATTTAATTTCTTTTTGTAAAAAAATCATTCTGATAAATCTTCTGATTGAACGCTAGATTCGATCCCTAAGGTCTTCTAGTTATCTACCCTTCCCTCCATACACACAGGGCTAAATCTACACAGCGACTTGAACACAAGAGAAATGCTTTCCTCAAAGGTTCGTTTATATACAGAAAATTTAGGGTATTTATAGGACGTTAGATGACTTTGGGTTTTCGGTAAGTTCTGGAATGCTACTAAACATAGTAGTAGTATAAATAATGATTCAATCAGAAACGCGATATGTGACTTTCCATTATCTAGATATTTCTGGCAAAAAGTCTATTGAATGCTGATTGGATAAGTTGTTTCTTAGAGTTTTCAGAGCCTTCTTTTTGGCTTTTTTCAAGTTTTCTGGATATACCCCAACATATTCATTTACACATCAGAAAATTTTTTTAATATTAAACACTTGAAGTTCCATTTACATCATAAAATGAATTAATTTGACACTAGTTATTGAGAGGCTGGACAGTAATGCACATAATATGAATATCTCAACCATTTACTGGGTTAAAACCAACGAGAGTTAACTAAATGTAGATTTGATATGATTATTCATCTTTTACATATTCCATTATTTATCATAATAAACATAGAAATGTTAATTCTAAGTAACAGTGTTGGGGAAATTAGGTCCCCATAACTCACTTGGGAAAGGACCTAATTTTGTAATTCTATTCAAAAAAATTCGGATTTCTTTGTTTTCGCGCTAAAGGCGCTCTTTCCACCTTCATGTTGTATTTCCCACTTGGGAGAATATTAAATGCTAGTGGTCGGTTGTGCCTTTTAGTATGCTATTTTGTAACTCTCACAAAGGACGATTTTGTGCTATAAATATACGTTTTGAATTGTGTTTGATGTTATCGCTCATTTCTGGCTGTTTGTGGAATAGACTTCTCCATCCCAAGCTTGAACTTCTTCCTCTAGTTAGCGGGGCTGGGTCGCATCGAATAGCTAGCTTGTTGGTTTTTGGTTACCGAGTCTTTGTGTCTGTTCGCAGTCTACGTAAACTCGTAACCCCTTCAAACTTAGCAAATAGGAGTTGAAGTAATGCTTTCATCACGAACTGACATCAGCTATAATAAGACTATGCTTTACCACTCTTTCGTTGATAAACTTATAAAAGCTAGGATTGAGATTAAGAGCCAAGAGTTGGAGTCAATTTATTGTTTGTTTATTTGAATACATAAATATTGGTACAAAGAGGCACCGAATACATATGCGCCACACAATAATAATGAGGACAGTAGCAGTTATCACTAGTTTATGTGAGGGATGGGATACTGCCCGAGTGCCCAGACCAAAGCAAGTGTTTTCCTTAGGGGGCCAAAACCGGGGCTTTCGACCTAAAGGTCTGATCCACATGGATGTGAAGCAATGTGAGAGAATGCAGTCCTATGGTAGCTGGTGACCAACAATAGGTTCCATCAGGATCCCGGAACCCATGTACACCATTGGTTTGGAATCAGAGTTTTACAACTCCCACAGGTGAACTCTTCGTGTCCACCAACCCATTTAAAGCGCTGGACATTCACTTTTCGTCCTCTCAATTTCGTAAACAACAGAAATGCAGGGAGAAGTAAGTAAGTAGGACTTCTCTGACAGTGGTTGTATGCACGTGGCCATGTGAGGGCATTCGAAGAGGGAGAGCGGACTTTCCGTTCCCTCAGCCGTACCAGGGCATTTGGGGGCATAGCTTATTCGAGCCTCTAGATTGATCAATCTATTCACTCATCTTAAGCGTATTTTGACCTTGTTAATTATTCGCTTATTAACCTTGACTGATTTGATTTATGCGTGTGTGTATTTCTTATCTTACTCATCAAACGTTTGTAACTTATTTTTGTGTGACTATAAATATCGATTCACATTTGGCTAAATTGGGTTGGCTCACTAGCCTTTCCTGTTGTGCATCATTTTGTTATGCATCGCCTTCTGGTCAACCATTGTACAAAATATACGTATTCAAAATTCATTCTCAAATTGGATTTATTTAATTTCGTTATCCACTAACGCGACTTAAGTCGATGGTTATATACGAGGATTGGCGACATGTATATTTCAATAACAATCAATCGTATGATATTACTAGAATCAGATAACGGGCCACTAAAATTATGAGCCCGCCGACGATGAAACTAACGCAGCACTCCATTCTTTCAACGAACAAACACAGCAAAGCCAGCTCAATCGATACATAACCATACGATCAAATTGAAGTCAGATTTAACTCCAGTAAAGTGATGATCCCATCGAAAATATCATCGTCCGATATAATTAGCCACAAAACCATAGTCACTATGTAACTGGATGAAAGGTGTATTTTGATCAATTCTATGTATTAACAATGTTAGCTCACCTAGTAATAAGATATGTACTTAGTGAATTTTGTTGACAATCTAAGGAAATGATCTCTTCATTCTCATCGGTTCACTCAAGGCTGCCTTAGCGCTGTATACCACATTTTAGAATATCAAATAAAACAATGAATACTAACTATTACAAGATAATCAACCGAGTTTATTTGTGCATTAAGAAACTAAAGAAATCAATTTGAAGTGAAAACTAAACAGGAAAAACTCTCTCTCTCCCCCTCTCTCTTTCTGAATAGTGTGTTCTTCATAATGATAATTATGTTATAAGAGAGAGAGAGAGAAACAATTGATTGACACCAACCATTTTAATATAGTCATAATGATAGATTATCACATAGTAGTAACCAAGCAATAATCAATCTAAATCAGATGGGTTTAAAAAAAGATTCAAACATGAAAAAAAGGAAAACAAAACAAAACAAAACTCTACAGTTTCACAGAAGAAATAAAAAGAAAAGTCATTTAAATATTTTGTTTTAATATCCTCCCCCCCCATTTCTTGAATGGGATATACACAACAAGAATAAATATGAACCTAAATAGAATCTATTTACTGAATTATGATTGGATAGAAAAAACCCGCAAAAAGTGATAGACAGACAATCCACATATGAAAATGTATAGGGGAACCAATAGAAATGCTAAAAAACAATATTAGGTAATTGTGATTGGTAGTTTTCAATTTGCAACAGTTGATCGATATACAGACAGGTCAGTGTTGATTAGGGCAACTATATATATATATATATATATATATATATATATATATATACCAATACATGTGAACAAGTGCTTAGGGATCTGGCAGGACCAGGTGGGAAGTAAAACACGGTCTTGGGGCTATAAATGTGAAGGGGTGACAAAGTAAATAAATAAGGGAGACAAATCACAGCCAATTTATTTCAGGTAAACGTTCCTTTTGTAAAACAAAGATATTTTGCACGGTTATTATTTTTTCTCTATTTACGCGTTTACAGATTTATTTAAGAATTCGATTTCATAATTGGATTATTACCATTTGATTGATTAGTAATGGAAATCGGTGCAGATCTACCATTTAAATAATCATTATTATGATTAGTACCAATGTTATTTAGTATAGGTAATCTAGTATCCAATAATAAATTTCCATTAGCATCTTTAATACGTAAACGTCCAGAACTGTAACGAGTTTCATGACGACCATCGGGAAATATAGTCTTGGTAGTACCATCTGGATAAACACGACACTGAGAATTAAAAGTTTAGAAAAAGTGTAAAACTTTAGATGAATTAATTCATTTATAACAAGATTTATAGAAGACTTTATTCTCTCATGTATTAAATCATTCGTATTTTACTTATTTTAAATAAACTTGGTAGATGCAGATTACTTGATTGGGGTCCGCGTGACTATCGTACCAATGATTAGAGACTCTGGGGTGACATGGCTCAGAATCGATCACAATGGCGTAGGTGTATACACTATTTGTCTTCCCTTAAGCTATGAGATTGAAATCGCTTCATATCTTTCCTTATATGCAATCTTTCTTTTAAATATTAATGCCACCGAATTAACTACTTCTATGAATTTGGTGTTCATCTTGTTGTGTTAATGAAGTATGGCAACTTGGACCGATGTATATATGTGCCTGGTCTTACGTTGTAGCTGACTGACTGAAACTTTGAAAAAAGTTCATTGAACACATATATTTGCGTGTTTCAATGATCTATGTGACTAATAGAACAGTTAATCAAAGAAAATGAACAACTTATCATGAATAAACAACAGTTTCAGTTGTCATAGTTCATACTTCACAGAAAAAAGAGACTTGAAAGGAAATAAAGAATGAATGCAACTGCACTACACTGACCAATTTTGAACTGCATCATCTCAAGTCTACAACTATTGATGTCAACCAAGATGTCTTCAAATCCCGAAGACAGTTTATGGTAGATGAAATGTCTAACTGTATTTAAACGTACCTGAATATTAGGCATAATTGTATTAGAAATGGGAGGGGGGTGGATGCACATGCGTACTATATGCCCAAACCATCTAGTTTGAGAATAATTTATAACCTTATTGGTTGAATAAACTATAGACTTAGTCTCAGCATTACTGTTTTTTTTATTTTTCGAAGATACCTACAGTTGAATACTTTCAAATTTTCTGTATACTCAACTTTCAAAAATGAATAGAAATACAGCGTACAACAAACTTACTGTTTAAAAGGTAGATTTTTATTTCATTCATCTGTTTAATAATAATTATGATTATGAATGTTAAAAATACCATCTCCTTCCCTCCCAATAAAAAGAATAACATTTAGGTAACTTAGAAATAAAAAGAATAATAAACAACTTTATTAAGTACATTTTTATTATAACTTGTTTCTGCTGTAACCAATATGATGTTTAAACCATCCTCATCTGTACAATAAAGACAGATATTAATCACTCTTTGTGTTCTTCCAAATTCTAATCTTCCGAATTCTTCATATCCCTTTCATTTTTCTC